ACATTTACAGAACATTATACACAACTGCAGAATTCACATTCAAGTATACAAGTAGTCCTTGTTTTTGCACTGGTATCACATTAAATGAAACCTGTGCCTATCAAAATCTTTACAAGGTTCTGATACGCATGAGTTTCATTTATGATGGCACTGTGCAAGGCAAAGCTTGCTTATAAGGAAGCATTCATCAATATAAAACATTTAGAGAGCTATAAAACAAGTCTGAAAAAAAATCCAAAGGATTGAAATGACATAGAGCACACTATCTGAACACAAGAGAATTAAGTTAGAAATTGATAACAATAAAGTATCCAGAAAATCTTCAAGTATTTGGAACCAGAGCGATACATGCCCTTGGTAGAGTATCATGGCATCACAGCTCATAGAAACTTCAAACTCTTGGGCTCAAACCATCTTCTGCCTCAGCCTCTCAAGTACCTGGGACTACAGGCATCTAGCCACAACACCCAGCTATTTTTAGAGATGGGGTCAGGCTGGTCTTGAACTCCTGAGCTCAAGCAATCCACCCACCTTGGCCTCCCAGACTGCTAGGATTACAGGTATGAGCCACCGTGCCTGGCCTTAGCGACACACTTCTAAACCCACTAGTCAAAAACCAGGAGTATATATACATTATCTTGGACAATGTACCCAAGAAATACTTGAACCGAAAAGATTCCTATGTTTGGGGCTGAAATATTTTGATTAGAGAAGGTATAAAAGGTCAAATAGAAAGTTCACTTTTATTCTTCTTCACTATTGGAGCTACTCAGAAAAGTTCTAGGCCCAGAGAATGTACTTTCCTTTGTTGTTAATTTAAGTAGAAAGTATATTTTAGAAAGATGCCATGTAAATATTTGTCTATGGGTGCTGTCCAAAGTTAATTAGTAAGGCAGATCAAAAAGTTATATAGCATGCTTCAGCCAACACTTAAAATTATTTTTGGTTATAAACTTAAAAATGTTTAAACTCCCCTCACCCCCAAAAATGTTTAAACCCATTACTCTCATAGTACTGTCAGCTAAATATTTGCACATTTGAAAATAATGTGAAGCATAAGAATTAAATTGATTTGGCTACAAAACATGGACACTAAATAAACACATACCTTAGCCGCATTTATAAAACATGTTTGTAATCGTCTCCCTAGTACTAAAAAATTTTCTACAGCTGATGGAAGTAATTCATTGTAAAATTCCTCTGCATCTTCTCCTGGATCCAAGCCCACACAGCAATGGCTGAAATAAGAGTACAAATTGTGTTAATGGTAAGTTTCAGTTGAATGCTCAAGCTTCTATAGATACTATGTTTTATCAAGAATTTGTAGTATCAAAAAAATTATAGTATACGTCTTTTGTTTTGTTGTCAAGGCAATAAAGAATTTTTTTTCCTGGAAAATTAGCCTAACAACATGCTAGGAAAGTAAACAGTGGTATGGACCTTGTTTGTACTTAGGTCCAGGATTCATATACCCTAAAAACCTACATGTTAGCCCTTCAGGAAATAAAAGACATGTGGTTCACAAAAAAGAGAAACATGTGAAGTTTTCAATATAATTATTCTAAAAGCTATTAAGATACCTTAAGAGTTTACTTCATTCATAACATTTGTGTTAACTGATGCATTTTAGACATCTGATAGCTGAAAAACACCCAGGAAAGATTAGCCTGCAAGGGACAGATAAGGAAATCAAACACTAATTTCATACCAATTCTACTTTCTGTATAATATTTAATTGCATATTCCTTATATTAAAAGGGAAATCAGCAAAAACCTAACACTAGAAGGAAAACTTTTACAATATATATTAAAGAGAAAGTCATTAGAGAAATGAATCCCCTTGAAACTGCAAAAAAAGTCTCCCCCTGGATACAAGTTGAAATGCATTTTGAATTTATCAGAAGTCTCAATAATAAAAAGTATTTGCACAGGCTAATTCCAAAAAGAGCCCCAAACCCAACGGTCCCTATCTGTGCACTCTAATAAGTACTGCTGTTTGAGTCTTTTCAACAAAATCTGCAGATGCTAATAAGCAATAACTACTACATATTGAGCATGCTATAAAACCTAAGTGGTTAATGGTTCAGATGCTAATAAGTTTTATTTTTCTTTTATTTGTATTTTGAGTCCTAAAATTAATGGACTAATGCTCACATGTATCAGCTTTTCTTTTTTCCTTGGTTCCTAAATTGAGTATCTTCTCTGATTGAAAACATTAATAAATAAAATTATGTTTATTTATTAACACAGCATTCACAAACATGGAAATTTCTTATGTCTTTGATTCTACCCCTGAGATCCTGGCTCAATCAATATAGTTATGACCTAGCATATCCTTTCAAATGATTTTATTTAAGGAAATTATTAATATTGAAAATTAAAGTATAAAAAAGAATACTGTATACATTTGTTAAGTATTTTTTGAGACTGCATACTTTAAATTTGGCCTTTACCTAGTAACAAAGTAGGAATAAGCAGTTTAGAAAGCTAGGATCCAAGACATAGCATAAATAGGACAAAACCCCTTTAGTAGGAATAGTTATTAAAATCAAATGGCTTATTTAAAACAACAAGAAAAGAAAGCTGGGATCCAGTTATTAAATGCACACTTCCAGTTACTTAATCAGGAAGTGGCTTTGACACTGAGAACAT